TTAACTTTATTTATAAAATATTTATAAATCCGAACCAATAGTTTAATTTAGTTATAAAATACAATAAAATTTGTATATTCAAAACTCAATATAAAATTCAGATACAAATAATTCAATTAATAATAAAAAACATAAAAATTGTTTCATTCAAGTTTTCTCATATTATTTGATGCGCTTTTAATATATTCAAAAATTTTTGGTTTAATGAGTTGTTTTTGAGTAGAAAAATTGTATAATAAGTTTAATACACTTTAAATATAATCTCTCATTCATTGCACTTATCGTTAAATTCAATTTAAAAATCAAATTCTCGTCTTAAATATAAAAATATTAATTATTTGAACAATAAATCTATTGCTCTCTTATGGCAAACACGATATTAGACAACGCGTTGGAGGCATCCGATTTGGGAAAGCCTTCTAACGCTTCCAGCGCTTTATCGGTGTATTCACGGATCAGTTGTCGAGTTTTGTCAATAGCCGGGCCATTCCGCACGAGTGAATGTAGTTTCTGGAAGTCATACTGTGGCTGTTGCTGTTGGATGTCATCCCCACTGTCACCACTCTTGTCCAGCACTACCTCGTCAAGTGAGGCGCCGTTATTCTCAATGTGCAGAACTACCGGCGCTGACCTTAAATCAAAAGTGGGCGCTGTATTCAACGGATGCATATATGAGTCGATAAAGGGCTGCAATTCTGTGAAGGCCTGCCATCCCAGGGCTATATTCTTGCCGAAGTCGTAGCCTTTGAGTTGCAGACTCTCCTCGTGTCCGGACAACTGGAGAGCCGATTGACAGCTATTGGCCTGAAGACTGCCCACGCGAAGGAAGTTTCTCTCCTCCCAGAAGTCTTTGTTGGCATTAATAGTGGGAACCACTGACTCGGTTTCGATGACAAACTGTCCCTCCATGAAGTCGCCAATAGCTGTGGCCATCAGCTCAACCACTTTCGTGTCACGCAATTCGCCCAAACCTTTCCATACACTGGCCAATAGGAAATCGCCCGACAGTACAGACATCTTATTGCCAAAGTGCAGATCCATTGCCTTTTTGGACTGCAATAACAGACTGGGCTGGAGGTTAAGGATCCCTCTATGGATGAGATGCGCTGAATATATCATTTCCGTCATCTCTGCCAGTGATCGTTGGCGTTGGGATATGCCGGCCGACGATTGCGCGTCTATGAAGTCAATCGATGTGGTCGGATGTCCGGCCGCCTTAGACATCAACAACACAATTAGGCCCCGGGTCTGCATATTGCTGTTTCCCGTATAAGTCAAACGTCTATTAAATAAATTAAAACAATTAATTAATTGTAAAATTAATTCTCAAATTTGGATTTTTTTGTTAGAAAATTAATAATAAGCAGTTAATTAACTCATAAAATAACAATTGTATGAATGAATGATTTAAGCAAAAAATGTGTGAATACATGAGATAATGGTAAGAAAATTATGCCACAAATAAATGGCTGAGAAAATTGGCAAATAATAAAAAA